AACTACAACAAAAAGCTTTATTGAAACCTTTTAGTCTTATACAGATTCTCCAAGCAGAAATGTAGGATACATACAGGAATAACAGTATTAGTACCTTAATGGTAATATGATATTTATATACAGGAAAAATGATATAAAGACAATCAAGCTAATAGATTAGTCTGGGTAAATTGGAGGAAAAGAAAATTATTATGTTATATTTTATCATGTTCTCATGAAGAAGGGTTTTCACGACCGAAAGCTAGAGAGCCTTATAAAATATTTTTAAAGAAAATCATCCATATATGCCTGATACTTTTTGGCCTTAATGTTAAAAAATATTGTAGCAAAGCATTTATTATTTTATGAAGATATTATACAGTTAAACCTGTCTATAGCTCCCCCTCTAAATAGCGCCTTCCTCTCTATAACGCCCGATTTTAAACATTAAAATGTAAACATTTTACATTAAAAGTGACCTGTCTATAGCACCCCATCTCTATAGCACCCTATTTTGGTGAGTCCCAAGAGGGGACGACAGGTTTAACTGTATTAATTTTGATGTTTTGTGTGTTACTTTGTAAACTTTTCTTTTATTTTATAAAAATTCTAATTTGTACTTACCTTAAATAAATTAACCTGTCATCCTGAAGTTTGTTTTTTACTATTTTTCTGCGTAACAATAATAAGACACCTACTGCTGGAATGCCCACTCTTCTTCACCGCTAGACAACAGACAATAAATAATGTTGTAGATCTATATCAATTTGTAAATAGCAGAGAGAATTATCATAGATTTAACTATTTTTGTAAATATATTTATGATTATCTTTCTAACCTGAAAGGTTCAGGTTCCTAATATATATTATTGTTTCTCTTTTTATTTCAATTACTTTTTATTGTATAATATGCTTATAACTGTTTATGTTTAAAAAAATGTAAATCGACGCAATTATTCCTAGCCGGGATATTGCGTTTTGTGTGTTGAAATAAATAAATATAATTTTTAATATATCGTGTTTTTAAATGTATAATTATTTAAATACCTTTTTTTTTCTAACACTAAAAATATCTATAAAAGAAAATATACATTAAAAACAATTTTAAAAAATAGATTAACATAAAAGGTATAAACTCATTAAAGATTATCGATATGTATATTACTAATTTGTATATTCTTAAATCGCTAAAATTGTACTCGAATTTTTATTTGAATAAAAAAAAAAAAAAAAAAAAGAGGGGACACCCGGGTTTGAACCGGGGACCTCTCGATCTGCAGTCGAATGCTCTACCACTGAGCTATATCCCCATATGAACTTTCTCCACTACAAGATGTTTGTTCTGTATAGTAATTTTCTACACCAATTTACATAGGCATATTTAGTAGCTTTCTTCATGTTTCCCTATGTATACTGATATGGTAGGTTAATATGTAACTAAGATTGACAAAGATTTTCTATTTTTATGAAAACTCATCTTTTCTTCTATCCCATACTGTATATTGTTGTACATTTAAATTTATTGGTATTTATTGTATTCCCATCCCTGGACACTTTTATTTTTCCGTTTTATCATTACTCTTCACAATTTATCCTTTCATACTTCATCCTTAAGGTTAGAAATAATCGTTATTTCTCCTTAAAATAAAATTTCGGTTTTTTCGTTCAAAAAAAAAAAATACATGTGGGATAATTTTCAAATGTCGTTCTACAATCATAAGCCGCATTATATTGTATTATAAATGTATTGTATTGTTCAATGTAGGAGGAGGGGGGTAGTAATAGTCAAATACTTTTGAATATATCACAATCTCCATTTACCAATTATTTTTATTTCCAAAGCTCTATAACCCGCAAGGGATACTTGCGCCAGACAAGGAGAAAAGTTTATTTACATAAGTTATTTACATTATTCAACACATGAAAACATTAGAGATCCAGATTTTGTAGAAAGTTTAGAATGTATTTACAAAATGAATTGAACTTCAAATATGATTTTTTATCGGAAATCAAATCGTTAAGTTCACAAACAACTAGTTCATTCTTCATTCTATAATCTTGAAATGCTGGGCAATCGTGTATTACTATCTCAATTAAGTTTAGATAAAAAACGAAATCGTATAAGGTTAATATGTTTGTAAACTATTAATATCTATTATAGAGGAATATGATTGTGTTTATATTATTATTGATTATGGTATGATAACATAGACAAAATGCCAACAAAGTTTAGTAATTGTCCCTTTCACCTTCTCCTCAAAGTGAATATGACGTCAGACGACGAAAAACAAAAACAGATGATGAATTTGAATTAGTGCCAAACGATTATTATGAAGCTCTGACATCATTGTTTGTAGGATTTTCCTTAAATACTTCCTTGTCCGGTTCAAAATCACTTTATTAGGTATTGCTCAATAAGAGCAACCTAGTTCATGATAATTTAAACCGTCAATAATATGTGAAGGTTATTCACATATTAAACAAAATTTTAACACGGGATTCAATCCTAGTTCATGACTGTCGGGAATCGAGGGTGTTCCCCACTCGTCCACCGACTTTTTTTACTTCCTTGTCCAAGTATTCGTCTGTTATCATATGTTCTTTATTGTAAAGATAGAGGCTGCCTGGCCGGCATTCATATTTCTTGAAAATAAAGATACTTCGGCCTTTACTGGCCGAAGTATATTTTCAAGAAATGTTCTTTATCCTTTTGGTTAAATTTTTTTTTTCTGAGATTTTTCGCTAGATAAGAAAGAATGTAATTTCCATACACGATTAGGTACGTGCTCTGTAATGAAAAAGGATTTTTTTTTAAATAAGCATACTTGTTATTTAATTATATTTTAGCAAAGTATTTATTATATTTCATGCATAAGAGTCGATGGACAAGTAGGTAACACCCTCGATTCCCGACAGTCATGATCCGGGATTGAATCCCACGTTAACATTTTGTTTAATATGTGAATAACCTTCATATATTATTCATTGTTGTAATTATCATAAACTAGGTTGCTCTTGTTGAGCGGTACCTAATAATGTGATTTTGGAATTGAATGAATTGAATTGAATATTTCATGTACAGATTATTATTATTTTTTAATATTTATATTATTTATATTTTGCTACTCTGGAATCTTCCCTCAGTCAATCCAGCCTAACCTGCTTCTTCCCTGACGGAGATCCTGTCCCTAGCCAGGTCATAGTGCTTTGTTTATATTCCGCTTTACGCGGCCATTGGGGCTCAAAAATAATCTTATTTTGGTTAGCAACCCCGTAAATAAAGATATTTCCGAATTTTCCCTCATTGTTTATCTTGTATCTTATAATTGTTGATTGAGTTTGTTGTGCATCTTAAATAAATTGCCGTGTCATTCGGAATTTTGTCTTATTTAATTCTCTACGCTACAATGTTGTAACATTGAATATTAAGAAAGAACAACTTTTTATGTTATCAAAGCAATTCATTTTTTATCAAAACAGAAAAATATATAATTTCAATGCCATCTATCGTTAAAATTTGTAACTATTAATATTTAGCAATATATTAACTCTGCCGGTCCCAAGCCCGGATGTAAAAGCAGTAACAAGCTCGTTAAAAAACCTGGGTTCAGTTGGTCCGACTGATAGCACCCTGTTAGGGCTCCTATCTTGGGTTACAGGATAATCAGCAGCGTCTGTTCCTCATGTTAGAGGCGGCCATTTAATACCAGGTCAAAGTCCAAGTTACACCTCTCTGTAGGTGACCTCGGGGAAATGTTGAATAAAACCAGCGCTTTAACGTAACTGGCATATAACTTATATGGAGTCGTGCATAACCTACCTACGTATCTAACTCCTATGGTACTCCCCAAACCTATGGACTTGGTGATAGGATAAGAAAAAAAAAGCAATATATATTTTTCTTATGAAATTTATTATCTAATATTCTTTACAGACTTTACTACAATGGAAAAAAAGTTATTAAATGAGAGAGTTTGGCTTATCAATGGTGAACCCTCTCAGCGGTTTCGGCAAAAAAAAAATCTTCAGACAAGAAAAAAGATATATATGTGTAACCTAGATTACTGAAGAGTATTGCAAATATGATGATCTAGGTTGCTCTTTTTTTAGCGGCGCACATATAATAAAGTTATTTGGAACTTGAATTCCTGGAGAATAGATCACTGACTATACTCAGGAAGACCTTCTCACCAGTATGGACTAGAGCAGTGGTTGGTAAACTGCGGTTCGTGAGCCACATGCGACTCTTTGGAAGTGAAGCTGCGGCTCTTTATATAGTTCCATACGTAAATATTATTTATGTGAGTACTATTTATTGTTGACAAGAAAAAAATGTTATGGTTCTTTAAAAACTTTGAAAATTTGTAAATTGTAATTTTTGACTCTTCTGATTCAAAAGTTTGCTGACCCCTGGACTATTTGTTGTTGTTGTGTCCAATGAAGAGCCTCAGATGTCCCCGTTCATCTCTATCACAGCAGTCGCAATGTTCTCTATCTTGGGTGTGTAAAGTTCTGGGTCCATGTCAATTTTATAATGTTGTTGTTGTCGTGTCCAACGAAGAGCCTCAGATGTCTTCGTACATCTCTAGCACAGCAATGTTCTCTATCTTGGGTGTGTAAAGTTCTGGGTCCATGTCAATTTTCTATTGTTGTTGTTGTCGTGTCAAATGAAGATCCTCAGATGTCTCCATACATCTCTATCACAGCAGTCGCAATGTCCACTATCTTGGGTGTGTAAAGTTCTGGGTCCATGTTTCTGCAAGGCTTCCCCCATCGCTGGACATAAGAATATGTAGGTAGGTGTTAGTTCCACACTAGGACAGAAATACAACCTGGACTAGTGCTAAGTACTTTTAATCACGTCTTGAGTGGATTGCTGAGCTGAACCAGTTGACCAGGAAGTTCCATGCTTAGATAAAAAGTCTGGAAGGCTCAGGATTGGGGTGGGTCAGTCTAAACACGATAGCTATTTGCATCCTTTGTCTCTGGAAAGCCGAGCAGCAAAAAAAAAAAAAAAAAAGGTAGAGACATCCGGGTTTGAACCGTAGACCTTCCGTTCTTCAGTCGAATGCTCAACCACTGAGCTATAACCTCATCCTTATTTACATAGAAATTAAAGAGAAGCAAAAGAAAATATTTCTGAGTGACAAAATATCGTAATTAATATTCTATAGATAAGATAATAAATGTGTTATGCAACAATATTTCAACATAAATTTCTGAAATTCTTAAATTAATTTGCATATTGTGTCTATTAGTAAATTAAATTTAATTGCCATCTATCGTTAAAAGTTTACACAAATAAATTTACTGCGTTCCTTTTAAATATAATCAAATATTATCTCTACAGACCTTACTGCAATGATCCGCCAAGCCCCCTCATTCAATAACTCATATCATTGCAGTAAGGTCTGTAGAGATAATATTTGATGATATTTAAAAGAAACGCATTGTTAGTAAATTTATTTGTGTAAAATTATATTGTGTCTGTATTATCCCTAGCCGGGATATCGCGTTATGTGTGTTGAAATAAATAAATATTGTGTATATAAGAATGTACACACAGACACAAAAACCTTTATTAAGACACACAGGTCTTACAGAGGATTCTCCTTGGGGTTACAAGACGGAGAAACCTATGAAAGTGGGAAATATACAAAGGGGTAAAAATGGAGAAAGATTATATACACACTAGACGAATGGCCCGGGCAACGCCCGGGTTTTACCCGAGTGCGTATATATTTTTAAAACGTTTTATATATTAACTTTATGAACGGAAAAATATGTCCAGGGTAGCCTAGTGGTCATGGCATCTGCCCGGTAAGCGGAAGGTCGTGGGTTCGATTCCCATCCCTTGACACTTTTTTATTTTATCCATTCTGACCAAAATCTATCCGTGAACTTCACACAGACAGAATAAGGCAAATACAGATTATTATTTGAATGATCCTATGGAAAATAAGAATATGGATGGAAGAAGTGGAGAGCGAAAAGAGGAAAGAAAACAGGTATTTACATATGGAACATACATATAATGGAACAGTCAATTTAAGCTCTTCTGCTCACACAGCACAGGTGGACCATGGCTTTTTTCAAGAAATCTTTAAGAGATTTTCCAGGAAAATCCGAGTGTTCAGAGTTGTGTCTATAAGAATGTACAATTTTTTTTTTTGTTTAAACTAATATTTAAATTTAGGTAGATATAAGGGTTTTTGCATATTTACAAACTCACTTTTTGATGACCATGTAATTAAGCATATAGCCGTTTTTAGAGATAAAAAAAAGCTAATTCATCAACAATAAAGATAAGCAAAATTCGTTTGTATAGTTGCATACACCTACACTCATGGACAAAACTTAAGGAAGTTGTACCTTTCAGCATGTATATCGGGATTCAGACAATAACTCTGAAAGATATTACAGTGACCTTTATTGAAGACACACGAGATAACCAATATACACTCATGGACAAAACTTAAGGAAGTTGTACCTTTTACCATGTATATCGGGATTCAGACAATAACTCTGAAAGATATTACAGTGACCTTTATTGAAGACACACGAGATAACCAATATACACTCATAGACAAAACTTAAGGAAGTTGTACCTTTCAGCATGTATATCGGGATTGTGACAATAACTCTGAAATATATTACAGTGACCTTTATTGTGAAGACACACCAGAAAACCAAGTGTGAACAAAATTACCTCTGTCTCTTAAAAAACAAAAATAAAAAATAAAAAAATAGACGACCGGCGACATTAAAGACTTTTCCACTTTCTTAAGTTTTGTCCATGAGTGTATATCGAAAATAAAAAGAGCACATAAATAGAAAACTATATTTAACACATAACCATAATATCTACAGATAAAATGAAAATAAATCAAATAATAGTGAGACAATATAACTTATGCTATATTGAACAATAGAGAGTCGGAGAGAATCAAAAGAAATTTTTATAAAATATTATCTATTCAAACCAAATTACCTTTTTTTAAAAATTGTCTTACCTTGTCTTTGGTGGATAGGAAATTACGAAAGAGGAGTTCTCCTGGAAAAAGGGTGTTGAGACCCGCCGAAATATTGACTTTTGAATAAATAATTATTTAACCAAAGAGAGAAAAAAGGAACCAAAATTGAATCACATTCTCGTTTTTATTTCTATACTAAAAAAAAAATAATAAAAAGTATATATATATATATATAATTAAATAATATATTAAATCTTGTGTTGTGAAGAGATTTATTTTAAAGTATACTTTAAAAAGAATATATATTATATGTGAATATTATATAATTATTATTTATAAAAATATATAAAATAATATAAAAACTACCAGTGATAACAAAAAAAAAAAAAAATCAATGTCTATAAATAGTAGTAGACAGGTTAAGAAAGGATTGAACGCGGGGGTATAGCTCAGTGGTAGAGCATTCGACTGCAGATCGAGAGGTCCCCGGTTCAAACCCGGGTGCCCCCTCTTTTTTTTTTTTTCAATATATATAATTTTTTCTTTTCTATTTTTTTTTTCTTAAAAGTATTAACTTGTATTGATTTTATTTAGAATCTTGTTTTTTCGACATTGAATTTGAAAATTTTAATTTCTTTATAGTTGTTTAGTCAAAAAAATGATCTAAAGAAATTATTTTTTAAATTCTCTCGTTAGATTTTTTTCTTCTGCGTGTATTAATAGAATTTTTATATTAAAAGCAATTTTTTATATATTAATGCGAGTATATATATATTTTTACTTTTATCAAAATAAAAAAATATCTTTACTAGTTTTTTTTTTTTTGTAGTTATATGCAATTTTTGCTATAAATGGCTGCAGAGCTTGTTTTTATCGTGGCAATATCTGTTTTTATTTTAAGTGAATAAGCTTTTGTTTATATGGAATTTACAGGAGAATCAATCCTAAGGCTGAAGTCCCTCCTCAAATAAGAATCCTTCAAGATGATCAATCCATAGCCATAGTTGTCAACTGGTGGTAAGACTTGTTGTTGTCTTTTGTTTTTCTTTAGTTATTTAGTTCTTTTATCTAGTTAAAACCTGACCTTTTTTTCTATTCTTTTCTTATTAAAAAAAATATATTATTATTCTTTTTCACGCAATTCTGGTCTTAACTACCTATTTCATGATTTTTTCAGGATGCCTTGAATGTCCAGTTTTTCTTTTTGGTTGTTAAGGTACAGCTTGCACCACGCTGACGAGGGACAACAGCCCGAAACGCGTACGTGGTTAGCTTTTTCTTGATTAATCAAGAATGGGTATTTGGCCAATTCTGGAATAATTAAAAATCAACGAATAGTTTATATTTATTCCGATAGATGGCGCAAACCATCACCAACTTTTAGTTGCATGATAAGGAGATGCCTTTTTCTTGTTTATTCTTCTATTTATAAAAAAAAATATTCAGTTATTATATTACTCCCTTTCAAGGGGGCTAATAATCCCATCCCGCAAAAGCTTGAGTTAATAAAACTTACTAAAGAAACTTATACCTGGATGGATTTTTTATTTTTTAAGTGATTCGTTGTGCAAATTTTCATTTGCATTTCTAAATTCAAATTCCTCTATTAAAATTGCATATAAGAGAATGTTTTTCCTCGGATTTTTATCCAGACTAATCTACACAGTCTAGCCATAAATTCTGTTACAAACAATTTTATAAATTAAATGATCAAGAACAAAAACTAATGGAATATAAATACATATTTTATTAGCCAATAGGACATAGATTTTAAATATATACAATCATTCAAAATGTCCTCCCTTATTTTTGACACAGGATCTCAAACGTTCGGGCCACTGATCTATGGCGGCACGCACCTTTTCTAAGGGTATTTCTTTCATTGCTCTCACCAATGCTGATTTCAATTGATCCAAATTATAATATCTTTTAGAGCACACCTTCTCCTCTAAATATGCCCACAAACTGTAATCAAGGGGTTTAAAACAGAGCTTCCAGAGGGCCATTCATTGGCCTTTATGAACTCCGGAACATTCGATGTGATTGCCTAATTTTACCTGTATATAAATTTCGTTATTATACCAATAAATGTGATTAGATTTTACACACACACACACAACACACACACACACAACTTTTTTTATTATTTTCATTTAAAGAGACTGTAAAAAATCCATTTGTAAGACTGTCTTAATGAAGGCTTTTGTGTGTTTTTGAGATCTTGCATTTTAAAAATATGTTCTTTTTTAACGTTATCATCATCAAAAGTAGGATATATCGAAAGTTTTATCTTACCAAACGATTCTTGTAGGCTAGGTAAACAAGATACTGTAAAAGAGATGTAGCTGCAAAGAAGAAATATGATAACTTGGTGCACGTCTCGTCTGGTTGTCTGGGGGAAGAATGGACCATTATCTTCTGATGACCTGCTAAGTGGCTGCTGACCGGGCCAGACGCCCCGCCAACTTTGGTCTCGTCTGCTGTGAACGGCGCCATTTTGATTTCCCTTCTTTTGATATAGTACGTTTTTACTTGATTTAAAACTCTTAAATATAGATTAAAATAATACAACAGGTTTCTGGAGATGAGTTTATTTTTATTAATATGTTGTGTCTTTGCATATTTGTACTGTGTTGTATCACAATTTGCATAGTTTAACGTGCTATAAATAGGACGTAAAGTTGAGGAGTCCAGTCCAGGGTTAGGAGTCGAGTAGTCTTGTTACTTTAGGTGTGTTCTGCTGTAGTGTTAAATTGGCAATAAAGGATAATTGTTCAAGTATTATAGAGTTGTTTCGTGGCTGAGCGTGACACGACATAATGTAATCTCAAGCTTTCGGGAATCCCTGTGTTCTTCTACAAGAGTATATAAATAAAAGGAAACACATACCTAGCAATAACGTGCCATCTTTTTTTTTTTTTGCTTATCTCTAGTACACGTGGTACAGGCCATGATAACCATGGTAGGTAGAAGTAGGCGACTGCTTTTACTGTAAGTGCACCACATGTCTACACATGTGAAAAGCAGTTCGACTTTGCACTTACAAACGCGTCATCTATATAATACAAATGAAAACACCAAAACGCGCGAATGTTTCTTTTCACAAATTGTTTGCGG